TTTGGAATGGAACCATACAGAACATTTCATTCAGAAACTACTGCATTTCATATTCTGCAATGGGCATTGCTTTGCCTTTGCCTTTCATATAAGTAAATCCTGTATTTTATAATTAAATTGTGTATCTTTTCGGGCCAGGGAGTCATATTGTCTTAGCTGTTTAAACTGAAGGTATTTTGATAATGCCTTTATAGCTGCTGTTTCCAAATGTGGGCTTGAAATGTTAGCAGTAACACTAGGTTTATTTCCTACCTCAAGAAATGAAGGAATTCTCTGGCTGCTCCATTGTTCAAGACTGCCCAATCTAATCAAATTGAGTTACTAACTGTTGGCTAACTGAATGATCCTAAACACATTTACGTAGAAGTAAGCCTTGTTGAGTTTATTTAGGAACACTGCCTGAATATGTCAAAGTTCCTCTTTGAAATTAGGTCCAAACGTTTTTAACGAAAACATGTAACTTATTACTTTCTGGCTTTTAAAGAATTCTGCATAATAAATTGGTGATCATACTGTGTATGCAGTTAACTCTGCTCTGATTGGGGGAGCGAGCTATTTTTTTTTAATACCTTTATTTATTGTGGGGTTTGTGTTACTGTGAATTACTTTCTAACCCTCCTTGATTATTTAAAATAAGTAATTCATAACCTTTCAAAAAGTGATCCTATTTAATGTTTAAACGATGCCAGTTTCTTGTTTTTAGTAAGATCTATCGTGCGATCACAAAGTGAGGCATGTAGTGTAGGTTCCTTTTTGTTATCTCTTATTTGTTATTTCTTTGTTATTTATTAAGTGAATTTATTTATACACTGCCCTTCAAGGTTTCCATTCCTAGGATGGCTTGCATTAAAACAATAGGATAGCAATTCAAAATGTAACAATAATAATTCACAACAAGTGCACAGGGGAGTCTTTGTGCCAGTGCATGGGATTCTGTTGGTGCCTTTGCACTCACTGAATGGCTTTTGAGACAGTGGGTGCCTCTTGCTATAGGAAGAGAAAAGGAATCTGCTTTGCTGATTCACCTTTCCTCCTGTAGCTACCTAGTCCACGTTCTATCCTCTCTCCCAGCTCTCTAGAGCTGAGGTTTTTTGGGGGGAAGAAGGGAAATTGGCAAAAATTCCTTCCCTCCTTCCATTAGCAGAGGCACCCACTGGATCAAAAGCCCTCTCATGTGCATGAGAGCATCAGTCCATTTGCACCCAGCTCATCTATAAATATGGCTGGTGATGGAAAGAATGGCCATTTGAGAGTGGGTCGTACTGCAGGTCTATTCTATGTCAGAAATCTTGCATCCTGATTTCAGCGACAGTGCCCTGAAGTAGGCAGATGGAGAAGGAGCGACTTCCCGAGCTCCTTTGTTCCTTGCGGACAAAGCTATCCCTTTGTGGCTCCTCTCAGAACAACATTTTTAAAAAAGGAATAGGGAAAATGTAAACAGGAGACTTTTGGCTTACAGGCCAAGGCACACACACCACACACAGGCCTCTGAGGCCTGCTTCATGCTAAGCAAAGTAACAGATCTTTGTTGCTAAAGGGATTAGGGCTGCAGGATTTCTGAGGCACCGTTGAGGCATTCAGCTGGCCTGAAGTTGGGGCTTTGTCAAGAGAGACCTCCATTATAGAATTGTTGCAATTTTAAAGAATTGGGCCGTGTGTCAACAGCAACAACAGAAGCAACGTTTGCTGCTCTGTAGCTCTGGCGGTCCCTCCAGAGAACTGGGGGTGACTTGCTGTGGGCCTGGGAGGGCAGAGTGCCGGCCAGACAAGGCCCAGTTGGAGGCTTGGTGCCCGCTGTGGGAATTTGGTCCTACACGCAAGTGGCCTTCTCTCCCTGCCTCGCTTAGACGCCGGTTGAAGACTGCAAGCCTGTTGCAGCTGCAGCTTGAAGCACCCTTGAGTTAAAATTTTTGAACTTTTGAACATAGACACACACACACATTTTTAGTTTTTCTCTATTTTTGATCTTTAACATTAATTCGACTCCAGAGTCTGACTCCTGATCTTTTTCGGAATAATATGTATGGTTTTTGATATAAATTTGACCCTATAAACATGGCGGATCGTCATGTTTGCTCAGCCAGTACTTAATATTAAGAATCGCTGTATTGATTTGTTTGAGGTACAGTGGTACCTCGGGTTACATACGCTTCAGGTTACATACGCTTCAGGTTACACACTCCGCTAACCCAGAAATAGCACCTCGGGCCAAGAACTTTGCTTCAGGATGAGAAGAGAAATCGTGCACCAGCGGCGCGGCAGCAGCAGGAGGCCCCATTAGCTAAAGTGGTGCTTCAGGTTAAGAACAGTTTCAGGTTAAGTACGGACCTCCGGAATGAATTAAGTACTTAACCTGAGGTACCACTATATTGTGGAACTGCTATAGAGGGTCAAATTCCAATGTTGAAATGAGTTTTGCATTTCGAAAAACGTGTTAATAACTATTTTCAAGAGGCCTAAGTGGTGCTTTTTGTAGTATGTCAGCAGGGAGGAATCTGTGACCCTCCAAATATTGGACCACAACTTCCGTTATCTGTAGCACTGACTATGTTGGCTGAGACTAATGGAAATTGCCCCCAAAATATATGGGGACCACAGGTTCCCCACCATTGTGATATATGAAGCAGGAAGTGGGCCAATTTGGCCACCTGTTAATGAATCAGAATCAAAATGCCTTGTTGAGGGACGTATTCCAGGCTAAGCATCAAGGAACTTTTTTGTACATCACCCTGTCTGGTGGGCTTCAATCTTGGCCATAGAGGTGTCTAAGGGTGCCATGTTGGGAACCCCAGGACTTTAGGAAGATTGATGCCCTAGGAAATGAATGTCACTCCTCAGTTTCTATGGAGAAACTAAATGGCTGTGCTAGGGGATAATGCCATGGTTGGAGCTAACCTGTTTCTTCCTGTGCTGCTAAGAGAGGGAATGCCAGAATTGACTTTGATATGTATGACTGCGATCAACAGGATTGTTCCTTGGATGACCTGTATAGTACTTTGATGTTATTTCTGTGAAGGGAGTAGGGGTCTTGTTTTCTTCTAGTGACCCACCCTGATGGATGTGTTTGCATAGGAACACATAGGATCTAGAGAGGGTAATTTTGAGTATTAATTTATTGTTAAATTTCTGTCCTGCCCTTCCTCCCCGAGGAGCCCAGGGTATATTGCCCTGTATAATTCTGGCTGCATTTGTTACTACTTTTTCTTAAGATTGTCACCCTAGAATTGCTGACAAGCAACCACCACCACTACGGTTCAACAGTGGATTACAATACATTCTAGCAGATTTTGCAAGAATGCCCTGGCAAAAAGAGTGATTTGCTTTTGCATGCTCAGTTACCATTTCTCCTTCTGGCTTTGAGGCAGATGCACATGTCCAGAACGGCACATATGTGAAAGCCACAGCCTTTTGCTGGCAATGTCAGTTTCTTGAACAATGCATAAGCTTCTGGGTTTCGGAAATGAAGCAAGAGACGTCAGTCGGCAATGGAGCTTAATAAATAAATATACAGGTCTGCTGTTTTTAATGATCAAAATATGATTTCCAGATTATTAATAGCTATTGAATATTTTAATGGCCTAAATGCAATCTAGGAAATGTTATATTGCCAATTAGTAATGTTCAAGTACAGTGGTACCTCGGGTTACATACGCTTCAGGTTACATACGCTTCAGGTTACAGACTCCGCTAACCTAGAAATAGTGCTTCAGGTTAAGAACTTTGCTTCAGGATGAGAACAGAAATTGTGCTACTGCGGCACGGCAGCAGCGGGAGGCCCCATTAGCTAAAGTGGTGCTTCAGGTTAAGAACAGTTTCAGGTTAAGTACGGACCTCCAGAACGAATTAAGTACTTAACCTGAGGTACCACTGTAATTGTTTCTTCTGGAACACACATGCATATGCTTCATACACTTTTCTTTCCCCCTAACACAAGTTGCATCCTCCCACCCCCAGATCTCCAAAGGATGATGTTCCAGACCTTCCCGAAATAAAACAAAAACAGTTTCAAAATTAGGCACAAGAGTGCTGCCAGTGGACAATACTGCTAATATTTGTATGGTATTTCCCCTTGCAGTTCCCATCAGTATTCTTCTTATACCAAATTTTCAGCTACCTTTAAATTTTTGATTTTTAAAAGTAGTTTTGACTATGTATGGACACCTATGGAAGGCAGCATTTCTCAAGGAAAGCTTGATTATTATTATTATTATTATTATTATTAAAAAAAAACCCAACTGCAGGTGTTTGTTGTTTGTCTGAATGTTTGCTTTGCAGTAATCCAATTTAGTAAATACACCCAGCATGAAATTTAACTGTGTTTTAATGTTGTGCTTAAACAAAGTTATTGACACGGTTATCCACCTCATGGTGGATAATTCACACACATAAAGTTTCATTCCTTGAACATGGCAGAAAAAGTGTTGGAAAAAATGGTGCCATTGGAGTAACATGGGAATTGATGGTGATTTGCATAAATAAATAAATTAAAAGAGAGAGAAATCTTATGCTAAAGATTATCCAGACTGTATATGAGAGGTCCACTTAGATGAACTTTGTCCATTTGGGTATTTGCCTGGACCCTTCAATCCTTGGTTTCCAGCAAAGTGAAAGCTTACCATTTTGCGGGACGTTTGAGATGAGGTAGAACAGGCACCCCCAACCTTTGGCCCTCCAGATGTTTTGGACTACAGTTCCTATAATCCCTGACCACTGGTCCTGTTAGCTAGGGATCATGGGAGTTGTAGGCCAAAACATCTGGAGGGCCACAGGTTGGGGATGCCTGAGGTAGAGGAAAACACTTTTTGACATGTGTATCTATCTTTCTTTCTGCCTATCTATAGCCTGCTCTGCTGTTTTTAATTTTGATTCTGTTCTGCTGATCTTAATTTGATTTTTGTCTGCTGTGTCAAGTTATTTTTATGACTGTTTTATTGTACTTGTGGGGTAAAAATGATACATTCTTGACAGTTCCTTTGTTAGCAGTTTGGGATGTTGTCGAAATGGAAGTGGACGGAAGTGTTCTTAAACAAAACAATCAATCCTATTTAGGTTGGGGAGCAGGGATTCCAAAAGCAACAAGCAACTCCCTCAGCCAACTAGCTACAACAAAAAGCCAAAGACTAAAACAAAAACTAAAACTGGGAAAGCATGGGTAATGCTGCACCCTTTATCTTTTCCTGTCAGTAGATAATAGTCCTTCCTTGGAGGTTCTTAAGCAGAGGTTGGATGGCCACCTGTCATGGATGCTTTAGTTTAGATACCTGCATTGCTGGGGGTTGGACTGGATGACCCTTGGAGTTCCTTCCAACTCTGCGATTCTACAATTCTAAAATGCATGGCAGCACCCAGCAGCTGTTAGCGAATATTCTAAATTGAATGTATTCAGATTATCTTTTGTATTTGTACAGAACTCAGAATGTTTTGAATATGCATTTTCTGTAGTTTCTATGCTGGTTACTGCCTGAGGCGGCTCACCTGCTGCTCAGGTTGATCTTATTACAGCGCTCTGGACTGAAGCAAAAGCCTGTGTGCGATTGTAGCTGAAAACGCTCCAAACCTGTCACTTAATCAGGTGCTGAAAACTTACGTGCTGATGTAGCCAGAGAAAGAAATGATGAAGATGAAGAGTCCCAGTTTCTTGACCATGAAATATGTACTTAAATTCTGAGCAACCTTTTTTTAAAGAGGTACCGTGCTCCTTTTTTATATAGATCAGAGGCCATGAATTTGGTAAGCCTGGCATTCCACCGTTCTGTGGTACAGCTTGCTGCTGCCTGACTTCAGTGCTTCCCCTTATGAATAAAATCTCACATTATCATGTCTATAACTGACCTTATTTATAAGGATGGTGTGCAGAGGAGTTGCTCTGAACGGATGCAGTGCAGCGGAACTGCTTATGTTAATCTAATGAACAGCATTTGTATGGGTGTGTTTCTGTCTAGCTGAATCCTGAAACAATCAATGTACCTGAACTTAGTACGTATGTTTTAAACTTTATCCTAACTTTATTTTTATGAATGAAGCAGAGTGAAAAGTTCACACAACAGGGCTTTCTTCGTCCTCCCATCTTTCCACAGCCCCTGTACCTCTGAGAATCTGTTCCTGGGGTAGGAGGACATTTGGGTGTGATGTTAGACAGGGTGTGGGAGGGCTGCCAATAAAGGCACAAGTTGACACAATTTCCCCACTATTGTGAATGGAAGAACAACTTCCATGCTCTGGATTTAGGACTGATAAGTAAAAATCAAAATTTTAAGTGAAATAGGTTCTGTTTCCTGTAGATGAAATTTGTTAAGCATATCATATCTCTTTGCTGTTAGCAAGGCAGTGAGCTGATGACGTATTAACTTAAAGATGAAAGCTAAATAGTTTGCTGCCCCCCGCTCCATAGTTTACCCTACTTAAATAGTTCAAAATCTGTTGATTTAAAATCTTGTACAAATGAGCTTTTTGGAAATTTGAAAATGCTGCCTTTGTGCAAGCAGAATCCAACACAATGCTTTAAAGTGTCTAAGGTAAGGTGTTTCTGAATCATCTTGAAACATGTGGTTGCAACTTCTACAAGTACTTTCAAGATTGAAACTAGAACACAGGTTAGTGTTTCCATTTTCGTACCTGCAGTTTGCATCATCTATAGAAAGAAAGCATTTACAGTCCATTTGTAAGGCGTATATTGAAAGCACATGCTTCAAATGTCATACCACATGTCAGTTTAGTTGAGGTATAGGAGGATCTTGACTTAACTCCCCCCCCCACCTCTTAAGAGGTGCAACATTGGGTTTCCCCATTTCAAAGTAAAACAGCTGTATAGCACATGTGGGTGCTTTTCTCTAGATGTTTGGGTGGGAGGGTTCTTGACATTTTAAATTAGTATTTCATTTCAGCAGTGTCTGCAAGAAATTTATGTAAAAGTTAATAGAGCAGATGTGGGTCATCAAAAATCTATCTTTCTGAATAAAAATTCTGACTTGTTCTGAATATCCTTTCATCACTGAACAAATTTTGAATGTGTTAAAGGAAAATGAAATGCTGTCAGTTTTACTGCTGTAACCGGAGGTTCCATTGACATACAGGAGTGCTATGCATGCTCTATGTTTTAAGTTGTCCAGTTCAGGGACATTAGCATTGTCTTTATTTATTTCCAGTCTGCTCAATTATTACCATTTGTGCATCCATTTTTATTTTATTTTTTTGCACACATAGAGATGCCCCATTTAAGTAAACATCATGCAGGACCACACAGTGTTAGCAGGTGTGTGACAATATGAAATATTGAAAATTAACTCAGTGGTGTACAGCTGTCTAAAATTGACCTGATAGAGATATTGAGATAAAGAGAAAGTAATGGGTGGCATCCTATGTTCCCACTCCAAATGCCAGTTCCAGCAATGCCTTCAACAAACTCCATTGTGCTTTTACTTTTGTGAATCAAAGCTGATTGCAGTTCGCATCTCGAGTCCTTTTCCTGACCTGTGGATGAAGCTGCATTCCTGACAGCCCCTTAACATTGTAGAGCGGAAGTATTGGTTGGCACCCAATGTTATTACAGAGAAAAGGCATACAGAAAGATCACCCCCCCATGATCTATTTCTTACATTTATATACCACTTTTTAGGTCAAGGTTCTACCCCCCCCCCCGGTATATCTTCACAACAAACCTCTGAGGGGAGGTTGGGTTGAGTGTGGTTGTCCCAAAATCACCCAGTGAGCTTCATGGTTGAGAGGGGATTTGAACCCTGGCCTCCCAGATTGTATTTATGACAGAGTTCAGAGAGAAAGGTCTTTTTTCTTCCTGCCATTATGTTTGAGGAATGTGATGAAAGGGAAGTGTGATGAATGCTAACGGTAGATTAAAAATTAGCAAAACCTAGCAACAAATAATTTTTTTGTATATAAAAGTATTTTGTAAGTATAAAGCAAGTGAATCGCTCTGTGTGTGTGTGTGCGTGGTGTGTGTGAGTGAGTGAGAGAGAGAGAGAGAGAGAGAGAGAGACCAGGGCGCTAAATAATGTTATTTGGAAAGTGCTAGCTCTTGCAACTGGTGTATATACCTTCCTTGACAAACTATTATTATTAAGCTTGAAGTTCTGATCAGCTTGTTCTTTGGTATTTAATACTAGCTGGTTTCCTTGTAAAAATCAAAACCCACAAATGCTTGATGAAGGGAGACTCACTGCTATGATTCTAATAATACATTTTAAACAGGATTTTTTAAAGTCCTAGTTATAGACCAGCACAAGTGATGTGGTTAGAATCCTGCACCTAGTTAAGTGTGCAAAGGTTTCAATCTTCACTGAGCTTTCATCGAGGTTTCAAGTACATATAAATAAACTTGGGGTAGCAGCTGCTGTGTTGAATTTCTATAATACACTGTAGATAAAGTATGTCTTGTGGCATTTTGATAATTTTAGAATGGATTGCCATGATGAAACAGAGCACGTAAATATCAACAACTGTACGGTTCTAATCTTGTTGAGAAATGCTTGTTGCATCTCATGTAGATGTAACTGCAGTGGAAGTCTTATCATTTTGTGTAATTATTCAGCAATCAGTTTCTGTATGACTTTGTATTTCTATACTGTTAATGAAAAAAATGTTTCTGTAAATATTTTTACAGAACACTGGTGCCAAAGAAAAACGTTTTCATAGAAGTCATCATAAAGTAAGTTGAATTTCTACTGTGGGATTGCATATTTATGTTTCTTGGTATAGTTCTTAACTGTGTTGCAAAAGTAAGTAAAGAACTAGTAACTTTTTTTTCTTCATAATGAAGAACAGCAATTTTCTGTCCTAGTCATAAAGTTTCAAAATGACAGCCTGAGAGAATATGAAATTTACCTCTATCATCAAAGATTACAAAAACCGAGAACTCGTCACGTAGAATAGTTTTACTATATTTACCTTTATAGAGAGGAAAGATACACACTTATTTTCTCAGGTAGTGCACAGACCAGAGGCCACTTTGAACACGGGTGAAGCTGCTAGCATGTTTAAGTAGTTACTTACTGTACCTCTGCATATTGTCTGAACTACGTGTTTTATCCAACACTGCAGTACTGTTTGTGCAACAAGCACCTGTGTATGCAAAGGAATGTCCCATTCATCTCTTGCAGTCCCTTGTGTGTCCTCAAAATCTGCTCTGGAGGGTAGGGGGATGCCCTCCCCCCCAGCAGATTTGGGGAGAGAGAGGAAGGGAAGTCACAGAACATGAGTGGAAATCCGCTTGTGTCATTGGATACAACCCTGTGACCACTGTTAATAATCTGACTACGTAAACAAGCTGTGGCTGCTTCTCTTAGACTTGTATGCGTTAGGGAGAAGGTAGCCTCTGTAATGTTTGTTTCAGTTAGGAACTGGGGAGAAACTCAATTCAGATCTCATTGGAAGCCAAATCTATCAAATTGGTACTTCTGAAACAGTACGAGAACTAAAACACAACAATCCATTGAAATTTGCAATTATTCAAATTTTGCTATGCAGTTTGTCAACCAAACACAGTTTACAAAAATGCATATAGTGTGTATAAAAATGAATACATTGGTGAAAATAACACATAAACATCCATTATATTAGAGAAAGCTGCTTGCAAAAACATGTACTTGTTAAACTGCATATAAAAATGTGTTAGGAAAAATCCGCACTAAAATCCTGATGAATTTTCATGCATTCCCTCCACCCCCAAATTTTATTTGCAAATTCCTGCAAAGTGTTGGTAACTAAATGTAAGCTTAGGGAAAATGAGAAACCGAAAAAAGCAAAAGTGGCAGATCCTTCTGTCCTTTGTTTCAGTGTTGGTGCCGCTGGTGCAGTCATTTATATATTTAAAACACTTTTATGCTATACCAGTTGTTTCACAATACAAATATAACAGTAAAACAACAGGGAGGGGATAATCCTTTCTTTGCACAGTCAAGGAGGCAAGGAAAGGGATGCACAAGGCTAGGATCTACTTCCAATATCAAATCACATATATGACTGAAGGCGCTACCTTATACCGGGTCACACTCTTTGAACCTGGGACCTTCTGCAGCTAAAGCATGGCCTCTGTGACCAGGTTATGGACTTTGAGTGTGGGAGAGTGACCAAGACCTGTAGTTTTTATATTACTTCAAACAGTGTTTTTCAGCACAGGAAAATCATTGCTTTCCCCCTTTTCGATTTGAGTAATACGTCAACAGGTAATGGGTAAATGTTGACGCACAAGTGTGGGAACTAGAGGTAGAACTTGAACTCATATCTTGTATACTGCTGTTAGTGGAACCATTTTCTTTATTTTTTTCTCTGCTAGTAGAATTAGTGTCTTCATATGCGATCACAGTAGTTTTGTACATAGGCTTGTTTTATGGCATCATATTTGCTCTCTCCAGTACACAAGCACCATGTGTACAGTTTTAATATCCACTGCACCTGGAAAGTAGGCTTTATAACTACGTGGAAAGTCCCCCCAGCCTTTAATCAGCAGTTTTCCATATCTAAATCTGAAATACAGAGGCTGAAATCATTAGTCATTCAGTGAAGAAATGAATAATAGAAACTGCAAGAATAATGTGGAAGAAGTTTCATCTAATTGAGAAAGTAGGTGATGCCCAAATTTGTGTTGCTTCGCTCTTTGTGAAGTAGCAGTTTCAATATCAGAACCAGGCCAGCCTTTCTGTGTCAAGATATAAGCTATGTGTACAAAACAAAAAAATGGAGTATTTGATACCAAACTCTGTAGATTGGACTGCAATCCATAGCTGTCAACTTACAGATTTGAAAATAAGGGACCAGCAGCCTTGAAAATAAGGGACCAGCAGCCAAAATAAGGGACCTGCAGCCTCATCTGTTCTAGGCACTCCAGTCTTCCTGTCCTCCTGCAGTCTGGTCAAACTCATGCTGGTAGCTTCGAGAACACTATCCAACCAACTTCATAACCAGAGGTTCAACTGAATAGAATCTGAATCACATGTACCACAAGGCCTATGCAGCCTCAACTTAAGATGGCTCCCCGGCCTGGCTTTGCACTGCAAAGTTTGCAGCAGCACGTGCAACAAAATGGCGTCCAGCGTTCAAAATCCCCCTCAGCTTGCATTAACTAGCCACACACACACAGTCTCTCCCCCCCACGAGATCTCCTTTCCTTTTCCCCCACCATGTGCCCCTGCTCCAGACAGACCTTTTCACCGGCAAGGGTGAGTGGGCCGTCGATGATGTATCCATCCGATTCCGATCCGAGCACTCAGCACAGGTATGTTCAACTTCTGAGCCGCTCTGAGCCAAAGGCAGAAAGCCCAGCCAGCAGCCAAACGGGCTTCTGGCTCAAGGAAAACCTCAAGGAAAACCACCGTCACCTCTCCGCAGGGAAGCGCTGAGCAAAGGCGAGTCCCCAGGGAACGCAGCCGACTTGAACAGCACAAGACATGCAAGCTTCACCCCCCAGTCATTCTTAGACTTCTTATTGGGTGAGCAACACAGCCAAGCAACACAGTTGGAGCCTCCCTCCTCCCTGGCCGGCAGGGAGGGAGGGAGAGGAGCTGCTTCCTTTGAAATTTAAGGGACATCATTTAAGGGACATCCATCAATAAGGGACAGCAGCGGGACATGTCGCTGGAAAAGGGACTGTCCCTTCAAATAAGGGACACTTGACAGCTATGCTGCAATCCTGTGCATACCCACCTACAACTAAGGCCCATTCAATACTTCAGGATGTCCAATACATATGCATAGGGTTGTGTAGTAACTTTCAGCTCTTGTTTTAATTGAGATAAGCAATTGGATGTTAGAAATCAAAGACCTGAACCCATTTGTGTATGTGTCTGTTCCTTTAAATTTGTGGAACTTGGATTCCTTTAATTGGCTCAAGGGATTTATATAGGGGGAAGGGCAAATAAAGAAACTATAACTAGTATTCTGGTGACTGAGAGGTGGTGAGGCTTGACTTCTGAGAAACTGAGAAACCAGGTCTGCCCCTCTCTTGTTCATCATTGGGGTGACTTCACATCCAAACATCTTTCTGCTTGCAGCTGAAGTTACTCTTGTTTCCTAACCTCCCTTCACCCTCTCCAGGCCTTAATTAGTTGCACTTTTATTCATTCATTTAGAAAGGTGAAAAATTGCTGCTGTTAAGGTTTCTTCCATGTCCTGTGAGTTAAGAGTTAAAATTTGAAAGAAAAATACCTTCTTAAAGGCTCATAAGTTGTGCTTGTTAAGGGAATCAGTCCTTGGAATAAAATACGTCTTCCAGTATAATGGATAGTCAGATTATGAGAAGGCCACAGCAAGATATGGACAAAAAATAACCCTCCACTGCTCATCACCCTGCAACTGATACTCAATGAATATTTCTTCTCAACCTGGAGGTTCTGTTTAGCTGATTTGCCTAATGCATTTGGACAGACCCCCATCCCAACAACCATAACTAAAGAAAGGTGTTTTTCAGCATTACTGAAAAAGTTTGCAAAAAATGTGAGTGGATTAGGTTCAGTGGTGATCTAGTTGACAAAGCAAGCACAGTGATGCCCTGTTGAGCCTGCGTATAAGATCCTTGCAGATGGGAGATTTGAATTAACTGTAATCAATAGCCTAGAGTCCACTTAGATTCTCGCTACTCTCGTTGGTGCATTTTCCTGAGTCATAACAAAAGTTCTGTAATTGTCAGTGAGGGAAGATAACAGTGATTTGCTGTCCAAATCACAAGCTGTGTCATAACACTATAATAACACTATTTGCAGGTACAGTTTCAAAATGCTGTGGCATTTTTCTCACTTACGCCTTGAGCTCGAGCTATTCCCCCCCTCCTTTTAAAATATGACACTGTCTGCTCATTTTCCTTTTGAGCACTGGGTCCCACCTTCGAACTCTTCAAATGAAGCATGCAGTCAAAAGCCCCATTCTATTTGGAATTTCATGAAGAAGAATTATAAATGCTGATGATCAGTTGTATTAACAGCAGAACCCCTTTTAACCACAAAGTATCTAGGAATTGACTTATTACCAAAATAAAAACCATTGCACACCCCAGCTGCTTCTTCCCTTCTTAATTTCCAGCAATTAATTTATTGCCAAAATAAAAGCACTCCACACCCCAGCTTTTTCTCCCCAATTAATTTATTAGCCAAATAAAATCAGTGAACACCTCAGCTATTTCTCCCCTCTCAAAATCCAGCAATTCATTTATTAACAGGAAATCATTGCAACCCCCAGCTCTTTCTTCCCCTTCCCCTTCTTCGTTTCCAGTCCAGTAATTAATTTCCTATAACAAGTTTTATTTATAATTTCTATTGCTTTTTTTATTAGTGTGCTACATTTCTGACCCCATTAATGCTGGTGAGCCAAGTTGGAATAGTGGCTAGAGAGTTGGGCTTGGATGTGTTAAATTCAGGCACAAATCTGAGCTTGGCTAGGGAGAATACTGGATGGCTTTGGGCAAGCCATCTCTCATGTATACCTTTGTCCGCCTCCCCAACTTCACAGGCCTGTAGGCTTCTTCTATGAAGTACTGAGCGCCTTGGCAGATGGATGGAATACAAATACCATGAACCATAGCCACACTGTGAGGTGCTTTGGTGGTGTGCAGGTCACTCAGTGGCTGTCCGAGCAAAGAAGGATAGATTGTGCTGTTATCAAGTTTTCAGTAATGAAAGCTTCTAGGGCTGGAAGCAAGGAACTGTTAAGTGGTGTGTATTAAGACCAAGTGAAAGATGGCTACCATTTGTAGGTTGGTTCCTATAGTTCTTATTTGGGTATTTATTTGCTTTTAAAACCATCCTCCTGATAGATGTTAACTCAATTTTAAGAACACATTGCAGTGGAAAGAAGCTGCCAGGGAGAAAAGTTAACTGTTAGCTAACTTTTCCTAAGCTATCTCTTATCTAGGAAGAGTTTTACATGTTCCTCCCAGCTAAGAGTCCCACACAGGTGGCTTCTGATCTAAAACCTTCACAGTTTTACATGGTTCCAACCTGGCAAAGGTATACAATCAAAAGGATAAAGAAACTTTAAAAAAGAAAAATAAGGTGAAACAGTGAACGGGTAAAAAAACCAAACAAGCTCAAAATTGCAGAGATGGCCTGCCAAGCTCAAAAAGATTTTTTTGTTGTTTTGCTGAACTCCACTGGGAAGTATGTAAGTTGCTCGTCGAAGGGCCACAGCCTACTCAGTTCATAAATCATTTGTCTTCAGTGTCATGCTTTCAGTTTTGTATCACTTTCAAAACAGCTTCCACATCCTACCAAAGAGATAACAGTATTGCATTAATTCCTCAGAGTGTGTGTAGATAAGCATGCACACATATGCTTTCCTTTTGCAATTCTGTGCACTTGGAATTTTATGCAGATTGTGGAAGGAGGCGTAGAATTTTGTCCCCCCCAAATCTCTTATTTGTGTCTTGTGTTCATGAAAATGTGTTTTAAAACAGTACTTGCCAGGTATGTAAACGGCTCCTTTGTTCATGCAGTGGAGCATCTGTCTTCTTTCTACATGGTCACATGTCTATTCCTTATGTCTTCCATTTTCCTGCGTAAAGGTTGCTCATCTACTCCTTTCCCCATGATCACACACACTAAGATAATAAAAATGAAATGCAGGGTTTGGAATGAAATATCAATGCAAAAGAAGCCAGTTTTATTGACACACATAACTTGGGTTTTGTAGCCCAAAATCTTCCTTTTTAAAAATTAGTTTAAACACGCCTTAGTGCATTAGCTGTGGCTGGATGGTTACGTGGGAGCCGGTTGAAGTTAAATCCTTCGAAGACAGAGGTTCTCTGGCTGGGACGGGACGATAGGGATTGCGGGGGGGGGGTCAACTCCCATCTCTTGCGGGGGTGCAATTAGTGCCAGCACTGTCCTTTAAGAGTTTGGGTGTAATCTTTGACACCTCCCTCTCCATGGAGGCGCAGATTACAGCTATAACAAAGGCAGCATTTTTTCATCTCTGCCAACCTAAGCAGTTGGCTCCTTACCTCTCTCGCCCTGACCTAGCCACTGTGATCCACGTGACTGTCACCTCCAGACTGGATTATTGTAACTTTCTCTACGTGGGGCTGCCCTTGAGACTGACCCAGAAACTCCAGCGGGTGCAGAATGCCACGGCGAGACTCCTTACGGGGTCCTCGCTGCAAGATCACATTCACCCGGTGCTATACCAGCTGCACTGGCTCCCGGTGGAGTACAGGATCAGGTTTAAGGTGCTGGTTTTAACCTTTAAAGCCCTTGTACCTATGGGACCGCCTCTCCTGGTATGTCCTACAGAGGAACTTACGGTCTTCAAACAAAAACATCTTGAAGGTCCCAGGCCACAGAGAGGTTAGGCTGGCCTCAACTAGAGCCAGGGCTTTTTCGGCTGCGGCTCCGATCTGGTGGAACGCTCTGTCACAAGAGACTAGGGCCCTGCAGGACTTGACATCTTTCCGCAGGGCCTGCAAGACAGAGCTGTTCCACCAGGCCTTTGGTCAGGGCACAGCCTGACTCCTTCCTTTGGCAATCTTCACAGAACTCTAGCCCAATGGTTGCCATCAATTTGATTTAATTAATTTTATAATGAAATGATTTTAGAATGTTGTACTATTTTATTGTTGTTAGCCGCCCTGAGCCTGGCTTCGGCTGGGGAGGACGGGATATAAATAAAATTTATTATTATTATTATTATTATTATTATTATTATTAGTTTGTTCTAATTACCTGGATTTTAGCATAGTGGAATTTACTTAGTTTGTGATGTTTTATGAAGAACAGTTGACTTGCAAATTGCTTTGATACCAGTGGCAGCCAGTGAACAGTGCGGCTTGACAGCTACATGAAGGCAGGACTGAGGGGGTCAGAGAGGCAAAATCAAGATTGTCTTAGGACATGGGTACAGATCCGGGATTAGCTGGAGGGCCAGTTAGTTATTTCCACTACCTCTTGCGCATAAAGTTTGGCAGATGGGCGGGATCACCCCCCTGCCCGTCATCCAATGTCACAATGTTTGTTTATTTGTTTGCTCTTCATACATCATGAGAGTGCTTTGAAAAGTACAGTGCAAGACCCTCTTGAGAAACCACAGCAAAACCTGACAATCAGTTGATTCTCAGGTATTGAGAAACCAGTTTCAAATTGCTGTCTTTTACAGCAATTTGCAGGGGGTTCTCTGCAAGACTCAAAAACCAGCTGCTAGCTCTCTTTGCATATAGGGTTGCAGGAACAGTTGATCAGCAAATCCACTTTTGACTGAGCCAGATTTTTACCTGGCCCACACCTGATGATGCTGAGTGTAGCACAGGTGAGTGGTCTTGTGGGCCAAATGGGGTAGCTTGGTGGGCTGGAGGTTCCCTGCCTCTTCCTTAGAATGAAGGGAATATGGTTGACTTCGAATGAAGGGACTCCTGTGCCTTTGGTGACATATGGTTTTATTGACACATATACTGTATACAGATTATACATGAGATGGACAGGCTCACAGCATCAGCATGCCAACAGATACTGCTACCCACTTAGATTTCTAGAGAGCTTTTCAGGGTCCTAGGGCCCAGCAAAATCAGGCCTGTGTGTGTTCCCAGCTAGGCTTGGGTCAAGTTTTCTCTTATACTCATTGGGAGGAGTTCACTGTTGCGCTGACTGAGGTGATTATTCCATCAAGACAAGCATTTCAATTTCCAGATGGAACGATCAGCTTTCTCCTACTCCTATATGCTGTTCCTGGGGTTCTCCCAACCCCCTGGACAAATTTCAGGGAGTATGGAAAGGAGGAGAGGGGGGAAAGCTCCCTTGTGTAAGTGGAACAATTAGCTGAATGCCACCCTTTTCAGTGAGTGAATCGGTATAAGCAAAACAGCTACTTCTCTCAGTGGCCCAACCACCCGCCTGCCTGGCTCTCAGAACATGCTCTGCTGTGCAGTCTGTAAGGCAGGGGAAGCTTAGCCCACCCAGCCCACATCTGGTGCCATACATGACATCAGGTATGTGATGGGCAAGGGTGCGGCTTGGAAGGAGCAATCAGGAGCCTAAAACTACCCTGTGCGCTCCCAGTTCCCCATCAGCTGATGGGCCTTCAAACCCTGCTCCTTGATGTTTATCCTTAAAACCATAGAGATGTATGTTTTCAATGGAAGTGTACATTTTGATATGGAGCAGAATTCAGCCTTCAGGGTTACTGAAATTTTGCAAAATAAAATGGTTATATCCACTTCAGGCATACGATAACTGCAAGGGCAATATTCTCTAAGTAAAATAAAAAATTGCAGATCTTTGCTACAATGTTATGATTTGTAATGTTATGCTTTTTTTCTGTTTGCAAAATAACTAATGTTTTTGTTACAACATGCACACACACACAAACTCTACATAGGATGAACACTACAATTTAATTCAACTTGTAGAAGTAATTGTGTTCACTATTCACTTGCAAAGCATACACTGTATTCTCAACTGCTGCTTCTGTTTAGGAAACATCTTTTCAGAAGTTATAGCGCATTTCTCTTGGAATATAAAGTAGTTTCAGTATACTTAGATTGCTTTGGAGTAGATCAGCAAGTCGTTACAGCGAAAGCTTTCAAGAGGCAATACATTAGGAAAAAAGCAGCAGTAGAGATACCTGTAGAGAGCACCAGGCGTGCCCTAAAGCAATAGACAATAATTAGTTGCTTATTCCCATGCAAACTCTCCCAAGTGTTGATGTTTATAAAATTCAGAGATCAGTGGAATATCGTCCTCAAACTCTGCCTGCTGAAGTTGTTTACGCCCATTCAATTTTTAATATACCTATACGATGCTTTGATGAGGGCACTTAGCCCGGAGAGACTTGCATGCTTTATCACACCTCTAGTGATTCCCACCCCCCAAGAAAAAAAGTAAGAGGAGTTGATCAGAGTATTCAAAGTTCTGACTTACACTTCAGAATTAATAACAACATATTAACAAAGTGTTTCCTAGGGTTTCATCTTCCAGTTTCAATGATTGAATATGATCTTTGTAGCTTCCAGTGTGGCTGGAGTGTGAAGTTCCTGCTGTCAACAATATCTGCAGTGGTAATGGCTGCCCACTGTTTGTGGATATCTGATTTGTTAATTATTAGGTTCCTGCTTCAGCTGAAGTAAGAAATCCTGGAGTCTTCCATGTGACTTGACATCCTATAGCAGGATGCTATAATTTGTGTAATTTGTTCACTGTGGTTTGGTAAGGATACATTACTTGAAAATAGTCCTTTAATTTTTTTTTAAAAGGCTATTTTTCTGTCTGTTCTGCAAACATGTTTATATTCTGGTTGTCCCTGTTTACAGTCTCCTGTGGAGACTTTTCCTCAGTGTTGCAGTATACAAAGACTCCTGGTATAGATGGCACTGGCAGGGACTGCTAATCAGAGTAGCAACCTGATTGCTGGTTTATAGTGATGGCCACCATCTTGGATGGCTTTAAAAGAGGATTGGGCAACTTTGTGGATGGTAAAGCTATCAGTGGCTTCCAGCCATGATGGCTGCATACAGCACTAAAGTACTGAAGGTTTTCTCTGAATGCTGGTTGCTAGGAAACACAATTGGGGACCATACTCTTGAGCTCATGTCCTGCTTGCAGATTTTCCATGGACATCTGGTTGACCACTGTGAGAATGGGTTGCTGAACTAGCTGGACCTTTGGCCTGATCTAACAAGGCTCTGTTTTTTGGGAAGAGAGAAAAACCAACCACTGCTCCGTTCTGTATCAAATTGTAGGAGAATTTCGCTTGGAGAATAAAGTCTCTGAGTTCTCTTTGCCCATTCCACATGTTCCAAAATATTATTTAACCCCCATGGGGGGAAGGACATGTAGCCCTCCATATGTTGGGACTCCCAGTTCCCAGCATGACCTGTGGTCTGGGAAGGCAGTTGTAGTTCAACACCATTTGGAGAATCATAGGTTTCTCACCTGATGCATCAGGGAGGGGAATTGGCTTTGGAGGAGGTGTACACTCAGATGCATTTCCCGAAGTGCAATTCCTGTGTTTCTGTCTCCCTTCTAAAAATCATGACCCTCTAAAAATGCAACAGTGGATTCTCTTACAGTGGTACCTCGGGTTAAGAACTTAATTCGTTCTTGAGGTCTGTTCTTAACCTGAAACTGTTCTTAACCTGAGGTACCACTTTAGCTAATGGGGCCTCCTGCTGCTGCGCCGCTGCAATTTCTGTTCTCATCCTGAAGCAAAGTTCTTAACCCGAGGTACTATTTCTGCGTTAGCGGAGTCTGTAACCTGAAGCGTCTGTAACCCGAGGTACCACTGTACATTAATGTCACTTTTACAGAACTGAGTTAGTGACTAGGTCTCAAAAAGCATCTAGGATAATAGCAATCCATTATGGAAGATGTTGTACCGTTGTCACTTTTTTCTACATGTAGGCACTGATACTACTTTTTTTCCACAAGCGTGGAGGACACCGCAGCAAGAAGCAGCTCTTCTCTATGGAGAATTGCATGCTGACATGTGCAGAGATGCTCAGTCACATGACACACTCCAGGGGTGCCTGCAACATAAAGACTTGCCCTCCTCACATCCATCATAATGATGGACATTTCTCTTCTTCATAAAGGTACCTTAGTTATCTTATTCCTTTGAAAAGTAACATTAGTTGGGTCATTAGATAGCCACCAGATCTACTATGCAAAAGCTTAGGAGTTATTTATTTATTAAATTTATAGAAGACCCCATAAAATAAATAAATATATATTTATTTGAATGTTGCATATTGCTCTACATCATACTATAAGGGTTTAGCGTCATCAAAAAGCTGTGGTTTCCTCCACACACACCGAAGTGTGCATGTGTTATTTTTGGTTTATTTTCTGTACCTATTATGAACAGGCATCATCCATGAAGAATTATTTAAAAAAAGATTTTGATAGTGGCATTGAACTAAGTAGCAAATGTTAACAACTGATGAATGATTTACATTTGTTCCAGCTGTGAACTTGTCAGCTGTCCTTTGCTTTCTAAGAATAGGTGTTTCTTGATCGTTTTTGTTTGATTTCCAAGTATATGTCATTTGTTAACATTAAGCCCTCAACCGGCATATCCTGTGTAAAACTGGTATGCTAAAGCATAAACTCGACAGTTACCTATTTACATAGAGAAATATTATTTATTGGAGTTGGAGAAGCTGTACGAAAGCCTTCAGGGTTTTTAATTTCGTTTAATTAATATATTATTTTCCTAAAAAATCTTTTCTCCCTCACTGGAAAAAACTTGTTGCCTGGTGATATGAAAGACTGATATTGTGTGTGTGTGTGTGTGTGTGTGTGTACGTACACACACACACACACACACACATACACACACACCAATCTATCTTAATATTTTATTGCAGCAGTATAATGTGTTATAGAGGTGGACAAGGCTGCAGATTGAAATGTGGATCATCCAGATTGTTCCTTTCCCTAGACCATATGGTCTAGTTCTAAAAGCCTTTTGTACACTGTCTGTTCAGTTAATTGTAAACTCAGTCTTTAACATACCTAATAAAATATAAGTGGACAGATAGGCAAACTCTACATATTCTTGGAGCACCCCGGGAATGTTAGCCACGTCAGTGTAAGAAATTTCCAGTCTCCTCATATTTGGTGAAGATTTATTGCCAGTGAACATCTTTGAATGTTGTTTTTTTTCCTATACATGAATGCAAACTTTCATGTTTTTTTGATCACATACATTAGAAGCTCACGTTTCTATGGGCAAGAGAGCCATCGTCTCAATGAAACATGCGTAAGAAAGAGAGAGGCTTTAATATACTACAGAACATTTCAGCGTAGTGTTATTCCTCCAGCAGACAGCCCTCTGCCAGTGGGTGATGTATGGTAACAAGTAAGATTTATGACAGATGGATAGTAGGATTGCTAATACACCTACACAACTTCTAGCTTCTAGTGTTCTCTGTGCCTGATAGGTTTTGTCTTCACATCCTGTTCTTTTGTTGCCCTTTGCATGGTCTTGAGACTATGAGACTGAGCATCTTAATTTGCTTTGTTGCAGATGGTTTATTCTGCTCTTGATTTAAGAGAGACTGCACAGAGCCAGACATCAATAGCCATACTACCTGCTTGGAAATAACCTGTATTAGCCATTGGCAAATTTATTAGTTCTGTAGCTTCTTAACTGCAAAGAACCCAAGGTTAGGAAAGGCTGCTTTGGAAACCATGGAGATGGCAAGTGAATTTGCAAAGTTGAGTACTGAGCACAGGGGTGAAGAAAGCAATTAAGCCACTCTAAAGCATGGTTTGCTGGTTTTGAAGCTGAAAACATGGTGTGGGTATGGTTAGTACAAACTTCTGGGGTGAATTATTCTTATAGGTCCCAATTTATGATTAATCAGGGCACAGGAAGTTCCCTTTAGTGACAAACGTTATATCAACTTTATTATTTATATAAGGGATTACCAAAAAGGTGCCCAAGGGCACCAGTGTGAGTGCCAGTTCCTCCTACAGCAACTGCAAAAGTCTCAGCAAATATCCTCTCAAAAATCTACAATGCTCAGTTTCTGTTTTTAGTGGTTCAGCCTCTCCTACATAGAAGCTGCCTTAATAGCTTCTGCCTGAATAGATTCCCATCTATTCTGAACAGAGAAGAGGTACACAGAGCTTCTCTCTGTGAGGGAGCACGGTACGCGCCTTTCCTCCCATTGATTGCAGGGAGCGCATTTCTGCACCATTCTGTGCTCTTTTAGATGTGGCATCCATTTTGTGCTATGCTCTCAATACAGCCATTTTGTGACTGCTGCCCACGGCACTCCCAGAGGTGCCCCCTGGCTGAAAAGGGTTGGCGATCTGTGATTTGTATAGCATTGTCAGCATTCATGGAGCTTTGCTTAAGTATAATAGGGCATTTCTGAGGGAAGGAATCTTGCTTCTCTGTTACATAATGCCCCCTTGAAAGAGAGGAGAGGTGAGGAAATCATAAGCGGTCTGGGACTTTTGGATTGGATCAGAATTTGCAGCCTGGAATTGGTCTGGTTTTGCCTCTTCTTTCCTAACGGACATTTATTTTATTTATTGATTTATGAGATTTAGATACTGCCCTTCACCAAAAGATCTCAGAACAGTTCAGAAGATAAAAATTTGAGATAAAAGCACAAATAAATAGTTAAAGAACCAACAAAGCAATGTCTCCCCCCACAAACACATTTAAAAGGCCATAGAATATGTATCAGCCTAAGACCTGGTTGCAGAGGAGCGTTTTTGCCTGGCGCCTAAAGATATACAGTGGTACCTCGGGTTACATACGCTTCAGGTTACATACGCTTTAGGTTACAGACTCCGCTTACCCAGAAATATTACCTCGGGTTAAGAACTTTGCTTCAGGATGAGAACAGAAATCGTGCTCCGGCGGCACGGCAGCAGCAGGAGGCCCCATTAGCTAAAGTGGTGCTTCAGGTTAAGAACAGTTTCAGGTTAAGAACGGACCTCCGGAACGAATTAAGTACTTAACCAGAGGTACCATTGTATAAGGAAGGCACCAGGCAAACCTCCCTGTGAAGAGCATTTCACAAATAGGGAGCCACTGCAGAAAAGGCCCATTTTTGTGTTGCCACCCTCTAGACCTCGTGTGGAGGAGGCAAACGGAAGGGCTTCAGATGATGAACATAGAGTCTAGGTCAGTTTACCGGTATATGGGGAGAGGCAGTCCTTGAGGTATTGTGCCTGTACTGTCCTTGAGGTATTGCATGTGTCGTGATGACACAACTGTTCATGCACACCTTTTTTCTCTGGATCAAACAAAAAATGCATTTTATTCCACTACTTTTGTTCCTGAAATGTCACTTTAGGAAGTCGTATAAAAATCTGAATACCAGATGCTGAGCATGCGAAATTGCAGTAATTTTTAAGCCATGTGCAAAACTTTACTGGTTTATAGCAACACCATTGATAAAACACCATTGAGAATGATTGGCTAGGTGAAAATACTCCTATGTGGAGTAAAGTTGCAACTTTCTCCCCACTTTCCTATTATTTTAACCTAGGTGAAAAAACATTTAATTGCTACTGTGGATATTAGATATTGAAAAACATACGACAGCTGCAGCCTGTTTTTCATGTTATGCAAAGGAACACATTATCCATTTTTCCTCTAAAGTGAGTAACCCAAGTTTCAAAAGAGAAAAAGCACCTGTTAAGCATGAAAAGTGAGAAATGAGAGAAACACAATTTGCCTGCTTCTTTTGAAACTTCTGAGCTCATCAGAGGTGTACAGATTTCTTGTTTTCATGTTCCATGTGTTGGCAGCAAGCGCACTCAGGAATGGACATTTTTCAGCCAGAAAATATTGGAGCCTCACAGTCTTATGGCATGTCATGCATGCCAGTAAAATTAGAGGCTTGTCACATGTGCAAGCACGCATCTTGATTTTGGTATGATGTCACTCTGAATCACATATGTATCTGTGGGCAGAAATCCAGACCCTGTTTACTACTGATTCATAGAAACTGAAACCGAAGGACCTGTGTGTATAACAATTTCAGTGTGCATGTGAGTGAGAAGATTCTTAGCAAGGTTTACAAGACCATTCTTGAATATACTTGGTTGGAACCAGCCTTAAACATGTTTTGAGTAGTGTCACTGATTTCAGAGGATCAGCTTGTGGTTAGTCTGAAGAGAGCTAAACCTAAGCCAAGCCAGGCCATTACTTACCTCAATGCAACACAGCACCAGAATGTCAGTGGAGGAGCAAAGCTCTTCTGGAACCTGCACACTTCACACTAAACCATGGTTTAGCATGGCATGGAAATGAGGCCACTGCGACTCTTTTATACCTCATAATACTCAACACAATAATGTCAACGCAGATCAAACATGTGCCTCTTTTTAAAGCAAAGGGACTTGTGCTTTGGTAGTAGCTCATTATGAGTAACCAGGAAAGTGCGCACTGTTTCGGGATAATCACATTTGCTTTGAATCATGGACTTGGTGGGTACAGTGGGTACCACTGCCTTCTTGAAGTAGAACTCCTAATTTCAAGTGCCCAAGGATGATTCCAGATGATAGTTTTTAAGCAAAGGTTGAAATTTAACTTTTAGTTATTATCCCTTCAATAATTCCTTTAGGAAGTGTTGCATGATTAAAGATGCACATTTCTCTTAAAGTGCACACTGGTTTCCAGTTCAAACATGTATTTCTCAGTTAATACCTGTGACTGGAAAGCTCTGGGTAGGTTTCTGGCTTTGTTTTTCCAATGCATTGTGAGTATTTGTGAGCTACTAAGCTCTCCATCAGGTTTTTGATTCCATCTAGCTCAATATTGTCTGTTCTTGACTGGTGGTAGCAATCCAGGGTCTCAGACCGAACATCTTTCTTGTGACTTACTACTTGACCATGTTAGCCACAGCTGCAAAGAGATGAACCTGGGACCTCCTGCATTCAAAGCATGCATCCTGCCACTGTGCTATGGCTCATGTGTGTGTCTCAACTAGGTAATTCTAATTAGGAAGTTTTTGTTTATAATTATGTGTTCAGGACAAGTGAGACAAAATGGCAGAAACATTTTATAATTTTAAAAAAAACCCTTTTCTCAGTATTGGAGTTTTGTTTTTGGTTTTTTTTTAAAAAAAAACCCCAGCAACCCTAAAAGATAGTAGTGGTCAAGTTATTTTTCCCCCCATCTGTATGATAAAAAATAAATTCACTTTACTTTGAAGTCCATTGTGGCTGAAGAATTCAATGCAGTAAAAGAACAAAACTGAAAGACTGTGAGCTGAAAGGCAGCAAAACAAGAAATTCTCAACAAATGTAACAGTGACAGAAGTGCCTTGAAAAAGGGAAGACCCATCAGAAACAGATCAGGAATGAACTTGCTGGTTTCACCCCAAATCTGTGTTAGTGCTCAAAATTCTGCTGTTATTCTAAGGAAAAGCACTATACAAATTATTGTAAGTGCCTATAAATGGGTTGAAATAATAGGGATAAGAATGTATGAAGCTTCCTCGAGGTCTTTTTAATGAAATCCTTTACTCCCAAGAAAATGCTGAATGCGTGGTACCAAAGCTTTGTGGTGGCTATTTTAAAATATAAAGGGAATTGTACACTGTGCGCTAATTATCACCCAATTAAGAGGAAATAGCATGTTATGAGATTCTGGAGGAAGATTATTGAAAACGTCTGTGAAATAGTTGAAATTTGGAAAGGTCATTATGGTTTTATGCTAGGCTGGAGTACAGCAGATGCTATGTGTTGCTGTTTACATGCAAGTTATAGAAGCATTCAGAAATATTAGTTGTAGTTAGGTATGCTTTGTGCATCTGGAATTGATAGTTGCCTATGCATAGGGAAGCTAGTATGGTTGAGTGTACAATGAGTGCGCATTGATTAGTAATCCAACAGTTTGCATTTTGAATGTGAGGCTGAGGAAGAAGCAGGGTGAAAAATGTGTGCAGCCAAAACTAGCAAAGGGTCCACTGGTCTTCTGGGTCCGACACCTTTACATGCCCTGAAATGCCTTTTGGATGTTAAAAATGCAGGGATCATTTATTTTGATGTCTGTAGCAGGCTCCTAAACTTAGTTAAATCTCCATTCTGGGGAAAGCTATACCTGCTGAATATCTGCCTCTTTTGCTGCTCTGAAAAGCACAGGAACCAGCTGCATAGAACTTGTCCCCTGCATATGTGTAACAGGAGGCATCTTTCTAGATCAATGCTTTCCAAATATTTTTGCCCACGGACCAGTTCAAAATTGCTGAGAGTCTTGCGGGACCACTTAATGATATGTGAGTATGCATGGGATTGCAGTTTCTCTATGCACCGCCCACCATTATGTCAACCTATTGTTAACTGCTGGCTCTCTGTTGTTAGCTGCCCTGCCTCTGCCCTGCACTCCCCAGTGGGTACCAGTTGGTGCTGGTGAGCTCCTTGTCACCATGACAGTATCTGAAGGGGACCGCTGGTGGGCCTACATCAGATCTTAGCGCAGTGCCTTCTTGTTTACAGCAGTCATTCATATGATAAGTGAAAGTATACAAAGAGAATATGACTATTTCTAATGTATTGATATGCACTGAAGATTATTGGGACTTACTAATTAGTTTGAATCTGTAACAAAGGAGCATTGACGATGTTAGAGTGAATATTAATAAGAACAAGGCTGATAATATCCTGAAGGTGACTTCAGGACGAGTTTAGAATAGTTGAACAATCTTGTTCATGTCTACTCATAAGTAAGCACCATTGAATTCAATAGGATTTTACTCCCATCTAAATGTGTACTGTATAGGATTTGCAACCTGATTATCATTTCAGTGGTAGTTTCTGACAATGATATCAATCTTTGAGGTGTCCAGAATAATACAAAAAAGATAACATTGAATGAACTCAAAAACTTTTGTTGGAAAATGCCTATAAATCTGTAATTTGGAATAATTATGTTTGTTTCCTCCCTCCCAAAAGCCAGTATTTGGAAAAATGCTGTGCCAATGTGATGAAGAGGGCTAGGAATTGTAGCAATTTGGCATTTTCACATTTGGCAGCATGTTAATTATTGTGTTTTTAATTTTGTACATAACACTTGCTTACCTCAAAGGGATAATGTGAAGTTTTATAATGCTGGCAAAATTCCCTGGAGTCCCCGAGTGAAAGCAGACAACCAAACTGTTGTTGTTAATAATAAATAAATAAAAGGAAAAGATAGAATATGACAAGCAGCAAAACGAAACAAAAAAATCTCTTCTTCTCCAGGTGAAAAAATTGCATGCACCAAAAAAATCAGTTCAAAGTTAGGTAGGCATTTGCTTATCAATCGCCACATTTTTATATAATTGAAGAATTGCATGACACAGACGCGCCATCCCCTTTTTTCCTCCGAAGATCCCGTGTTACATTTTAAGTCATAACAGTGGATCAATATTTTTTATATAGCCTTAACAATAATAGGAATTCCCTATTGTGCAGCCATAAAAACAAGACATTTTTCTGTCTATAAACCTTGCCTGTCTGTTTCCAGTAGCGTCAAAGCACTAATGCCTAGAGATGATGTGCTCTGGGGTAGTAAGTCAACAAGTTAAAAGTCCACCAAAGAGATGTCAAGTGCTTGTGTGTGAATTATGGGTGCTGCATAAAACAGCAGTTCAATAAAAAGGCAGCCTGCTTCTTCATTTGGAAGAATGGGGACTATCCACTCTTGTACCCTGCCTGTATTGCTTAGATTGCAGCCAAAGTCTGTCTTCTTCCTTGAACCAGTAGCAAGTACAGTCAGTGCTTCTGTATCTGAAAACAAAGTACTCTATGCAAGTTGGGAAACATATGAGAGTGGTGAAGGTGGCATGCACTGCCAGAATTGGCCCTGTCTCTGTAAACTGTTAGTTACCCATTTTCTGCATAGCTACAAGGATCCTACACAGTCTTCAGCTGTTCATTCCCTGGCCTATTCATGCACCCAGAGAAGCAGTAGAACCAGCCAGACTTCTAGCATCAAAAGTAGGACATTGACATGCTCAGGGACTAGTAGTAATGGTCTGTTCCTGTGCTGAATGTTCCCACCTAATGTTTTCACTGTGAAGGGTGCCTAAAAGTAGCCAGTGATTGTGCATGTTGCACCGCCTTGGGGAGATCATTCCATGGGCAGGAAGCCACCCCTGAAAAGTCCCTTTCTTGTGTTGCCACTATCTGCACCTTCTTTGGAGAAGGCACACAGAGAAGGACATCAGATGATAAATGCAGAGTCCTATTGGTTCATGTGAGGAGAGGTGGTCCTTGACCTACTGAGGTCTTGAGCTACATAAGGCTTCATGGGTCAAAACCAGCACTTTGAATTGAGCCTGGAAAACCCCTTTCTCTCTTTCAAAAAAGGGCATGCTTCATTTATGTGTAGCGTGTGTTGTGAGACAATCACCATCACCATCATCAATAAAAATAATAAAAATAAAAATAAGTAGCAGCAACATTTTAAAAATATTTTGTTTGTTTATATACAATGCAGATTTAATCACTTCAAACTCATATGATTTTGATTTTCAGCCCTAATAACAATCCAGTGTTGCCTCAGCATTGACTTAACCTTATTGTTTCTAGCTTAAGATCACACTGGGGTGGGATGAAGTTTGTAAAATCCCAGGTAAGTTGCAAGTATTATTTTTTTTTTTAAGCCCACTTTTAGTGACAGCTAAATCCCTAAAAGTTGGCCTCATTTCCTGAGCTCCCCATGGCTTGAAAGTGCTGTGAGGCAGCAGTTGGCGAATTTTGATAAATGTTTCAGGCATGCCAGTGGACATTATTAGGTGTCATCAGGCACCTGGCAAAATATCGTAAGGGTCTGCCGCGTGTCAGTGACGGTTGTAAATAAGCAGAGATGCATGACAGGTTCTACATTTAACGGCCAGAAAACACACACCTTGGATGTGCTAATGCACAAGACACAGCAGAGTGCTTTAGCACATGGGGATTTGTGCACATCCTGGCTGTCAAGCACACTTCCTGAAGTGGGTTTTTCAAGGGACTATAAAATGACTTCTCCGGAAGCTTTATTTGTATATTGAGGGATAGTAAACATGATGCCCTCCAGCCAGCATGGTCAATGGTTGTAGGTCACAATACCTGGAGGGACACCAATTTGGCTAGCCAAGGATGGTGGATTTGGGAGGGAAGGATGGTTCCTTTAAGAAGGAAGTAAAGAATGGTGGCGTCACAAAACCTCGACTCTCCACTCTTAGGAATTGGGCTTCTAGCAAGTTACTAAACCACAATTTTTTTGCACATGCCTTTTTAGCTTCTGGGTTGGCTCCTTGATGCCGTGATTCCACCTAGTTACTGGGCCCTAAGGCAGCATGTTTTTACTCATGACCTATGTGTATCCTTTTGAGCCTTCGTCATGGTGTTTCTATCTGAATGCTGTTGGTGCAGGATGGAAAGGAGAAAAAGGGTCAATCGAGTCATTTATATATTTAATGCATGCATATACATATACACATTGTGTGTGTGTGTCTGTGTATTAGTGCAGAATTATAGTATACAGTAAATAGAGATTTACAGACCTGGATTATACCCTTCCCCCCTTTTAAACTCCTCAAAGGGTTAGATCCAGACTTTCGTGTTCTGCAAATGATGTGGCTCCTTCCATCCATGAAATGCGTTTGATCCAGGACTGGGATCCCTGTGGCTGAAGGGAGAAAGAAGAGTGACTTTTACCAATTTATCTCCCCGTCCTCCCTCAACCTGCTTCCTGCACTCCAAAAACCAGCTCTAAGAGTCTCCGAACCCTCCTAGGAGCAGATTTTCATAGACAAGCAGCAACCCCAGAATGAAACTCTGCTCAGGCGATGCTGCTGTTGCTGTTTTACTCATAATCTATGAAGAAACCCTTAATTTCAGTTTTCTCAGCACAGGAATCCTTCTTTGGGATTTAAAACCTTACTGCTTTACTGAAGCATGCTAGTTGTCCAATTATTGTAAAAATGTTTTACACTGAAAGGTATAAATGCATAAAATACAACACAGGAGTAACAAAAGTCAGTTTTCTGTAAATACAATATATTTGTGAAACTTCCTGAAGCAGGCCTAGCTTCTCTGCGTTTCTTGAAATAACACCTTGTACCCCTTGCACAAGGTGTGTACCCTTGTACAATCTGTGTTTGTTTAATTTTCTCCAAGGAAATATCACTGACACATTGCGGCCCAATATGCTATTTTCTGCTGGTTTGTCATCACTGCAGATAGAGCTTGTGAAGTACATTGTGTATAGAAAATCAAAGGGAGTAAGAAAACGTTAAGTTTATCAGTAGGCCTTGTTATTGAGTATTAAGCTTGTTATGTTAGTCTTCACCCTTTGCATCTGCTTTGTTTTATCTTTAACTTGAATTTTTAAAAAATAAAATGTAAAGGTGTTTTTTTAAAAAACCCCCGAAAAGTGTCTGTTTTGCCAACTCTTATCTGTGCCTTGATAGCTTCCTTAATCTTCCATTGTGTAAAAGGCTTGCATCCGCATTTGGGCATTTTCGCACATTGCAGAATTGTTCGCCCTGGAATGAACTTGCATGGACTGTAGGGGCTGATTCTTTTGAAAGCAGCAAACATGGGGTAAGATGCTTGGTATGTGTGTGTTTCTGGTTTAGCACATCACAGAGTTGGTCCTAGGAGTCTCTGCATTGAATTGATCTGAGACCTGTGCTGCTGTGTACGAAAGTAATGCTAGAGGCTTGGTTGTGAATTATTTTGGCCCTGAACAGCATTCTCTACTACGGCTGTTGCCCATTAATACTATTCCTGCAAGGAAGATGGAAGAAGGAGCAACTTTCTTTATATTGAGCTCCAGTAGGGGTGAATTCATAGATGCAACATTTACCAAGAAGTGTTAGTGATAAGCTTCAATGCCTAAGGGACAAAATCCCTTCTAAAACCAACTTTGGCTTGGAGTTCAGGAACTATTGATCTGCCATACTGATAACTAACCAGAGGCACTTTAGTTCTAGCATCTGCCTTGGTTGGGATTGGTGAGAAGTGTACTAATTTTTCGTAAACTGACCAAGACTGTGAATAGGCACTTGGAGAGCTTTATGAGATGTCAGAAGGTTGGAGGGAGTAGTAAAAACAATGTTACTAAGGCAAAATGATTTTTCCATTCAGTGTATTCTATTCTTCTGTTACTACACTTATTTGCTTTATAGCCAAATAAAAGTACTATATTTTTGAAAAACAACAACTACACTAGTAAAACTACCCAAGCTGTGACTGTACACATTACCAGCTTAAAATGCAGTTAGGTCATTCTTTTTCTCAATTTGGATCAAATCTGGTTTGGGGGGAAAACACATCAAAAGTCAGTATTTCAGGAACGACAGAATGGATACAAGATAGATTGTGACTACTGTCAGGTGCACACTGCTTGCCAAACCAGTAGTTGGAGCAATCTGGATGCAGAGTGTACAGAGCATCACTCACAGGAGTGTTTTAAGATGTTTTGGAAGTTACACCTATTAATAGGCAGGCTCCACGTTCTGTGTTAGCTGGTTTCCACACCATCTTCAGAGGTAACCCCATGCATTGGAATAGACTAGTCCCATATGATCTGTACCCCAGATGATCTAATGAGGCCATTTACTGCATTCCACCACTTGCAAAGGCCACATTAGATTTTCTTTTCCATACAGCCTTCACACTCTGTCTTTCAGTTTTACTCTTTCTAAACCTTTTGATGTTGTATTGTATTACTGCATGACTAATGTTGTTCAATTATATTTTTCTATTTTTACAAACTGCTATGACACTTTGGGATGAACAGCAAAATAGAAATATTTTAAATAAGTAATAAATAGCAGACATTCTTTTATAAGATTCTAATATATGCATTAAATTAAGTAAATTGCAAATTTAATAGGGTATCAGAAAATTTTCGGTTTATGTAAGTTTGCATGTTTATAAATAAGAAGTATATTCGTTGCTAGATTCCTGAAGAATAGTCTCAGCACATAAAAACAAATAGCCTATAATGCAAAGTATTGTTTCTGATACGTAGTCTTTGTGTCCAGCAATCTTTGTTAATAAATTTCTCCACGCTTAAGGTTTGTTCAAGAAATAATTAGCACAATGCTATCTAGGTTGCTTTTGAAAGCTTGTCAAAATAATTGATTCAATCTTCTCTCTTTAACACAACCAGAGGTATACAGAGAGGGTTTCGTGTCATCTTTTGTCTAATATTTGAGTGATGATATTGCTCAGATCTTAGTTTCTCCTAAACAGGAGACACTATAATGTAGAAACCAGCCTGTGAATTTAAAAGAGTATCATGTTGGAATTTTTAGTAATATAATTGAATATAGATTTCTAATCTAATCTAGTCTCTTGAATATATATTTTTTTGCTCTGAAAAGTTTATACTGTGAGATATATATATATATATATATATATATATATATATATAATGGCCCAAACAACTACAGGGTTCTTCATATATATATGGGGTTCTTCATTGCTTGTCTTCTGGATATTTAGGTGCATAGATTGCTTTGATTTTAAAATTGTGTACAATTCCAATTTCTATAGAATTTTTGAAAACCAGATAAAATTTGTGTCTTTCAAGATAAGTCTGATGTGCAATTATTAGACACAAGATACCCAACATTCATGATCCTATGTATGCTTACTTGTGTTCAATGTAACTTACTCCCAGGTAAATGTGTACAAGGTTATGCAGAAACATAAACCCCATTCATATAAACAGAACTGCTTATAAGTGTGTACTGTGTCCCCTTGAATTCAGTAGGACTGCCTTAGATCATACCATATTTGTATCATTAGCAAACAAAATATTAGCTGGAGCTGGCTAGAACTTAAGATCTAGTGAAAATGCTACAGGACACAGTTTTTCCATATGTCCAGGCCTAAATGTCTGAGATTATCAAATAGTAGGCTATTATTACCAGACTGATTCTTTTTCTATAATAGGGAAGTAGCTAATAACATCTTCCCCTGTCATGTTTAAAATATCTCAGAGTGGTTATAGAACTAATAGGTGTGGTAATGGGAGATGTAACACTATTTTTAATCTAACCTCTTTCATCCAGTTAAATCTAATGTGAGCCACTGAGGTCATAGGAATTGATAATCTTGTACTATTAAGAGTTGAAAACAAGATTCTTTGAGATGCGAGCATGACCTGAATGAAATGCGGGCAAACATCCCATCAGCATTATAGTCACATGTGGAACCATAAATACCACTTTAATAATACTGTTTATTGACAAGTGGTTTCCAAAGCTTTGAAATCAAGCAGGAAGTCTGAATCTTTCTTTTTATTTATTTTTAAAGGTGGTAACTTTGAATTTAGAATCCAAAGTATTTGATATAGATGCTATACATGCTGAACTGTACATGTTTAAAGCTGTGCTATTTCAGGATGACTGTACTGTCTGGTCTGTCAGTGCTTGCAGTACCACATAGTCTAACTACTTCAAATTCCTTAGTTTGGTAACTACCTTAAAAGTTTTGGTGAATTAGGACTGCGTACACACCAACCTATTTGTACTATTTGTAGTACAAAAGTGCAGTTTTTCCTGAATCCAGAATTGTTCATGCTTCTCCTCTACATGTTGCTATCAATGTAAGGTAAAGGGACCCCTGACCTTTAAGTTCAGTTGTGGCTGACTCTGGGGTTGCGGCGCTCATCTCACTTTATTGGCCAAGGGAGACGGCATAGTGCAGCTTCCGGGTCATGTGGCCAGCATGACTAAGCCGCTTCTGGCGAAGCAGAGCAGTGCACTGAAACGCCATGTACCTTCCTGCCAGAATGGTACCTATTTATCTACTTGCACTTTGTGCTTTCGAACTGCTAGGTTGGCAGGAGCTGGGACCGAGCAACGGGAGCTCACCCCGTTGTGGGGATTCAAACCGCCGACCTTCTGATCGGCAAGCCCTAGGCTCTGTGGTTTAACCCACAGCGCCACCCGCTTCCCCTATCGAGTCTAATTCCTGTCAACAACAAGGGTAGGTGGGGATGCTTAATGTGTTTTCAAAACCCTCCACCTTTATTAGGTTATCCATGCCTTTTCCTCCCTGCACATGCCTCAGGTGGATGAAGAAGGAAGTGGTGGTTGAGATCTCAGTATATGCCCCCACACAACATCTTGTGCAGGTGTGCATAAACCCTCAATTACCAGGACTGCCTACATCTGTTTTCATTTGTTCTCAACTGGACATATTGTGGGGTAACGCAGAAAAATCTTTTATTTTTGGTATGGAATCAGTCTCTTCAGAAGTGCCTTTCTGGAGAAAAACAACAACAACCAATCACAGTACATCTAGATTGTGTGTGCGGCATGTAGAAAAAGAAGAAGAACTCGGTCTCCACTGATTCTAGAATGTAATGTGATGTGTATGTAGCCTGAGACAGAGAGGGGTTCTGGCAGCTATGGAGGTGCCTTGTTTTTTGTTTGCTGAGCATGGCTGCTTCAACACACAGATTGCTCTTGCAATTCTTTGAGCCTTGCTTTTGCTTTTCTGTGATGGCTACTTGCCTTGGGCTGAACTTGTCAACAGAGCTGACATGTAAGGCTTATCTGTACAACTACTTGGAAAATTGTCAATGTGCATCTGGGACACCTCTGACCCATAATCAATATCCTGGAGACTTTTTCCTAGTTCTCTTGACTATTTCTATGGAAATGGCGCTGCTGTGGTCCTTGCTGGCACAGTCTACATGCAGGTCTGATGCGGGAGTATGGTAGGTACCTACCTTTTCCTTTTGGATGTTCCCTCTCTCACCCCTGGTGTTTGAGCTAAAACACTGAACTAAGTGCAGTGCAGATAGACTTAGGTTGGGGATTTTTCCGGTTGGATCCAGAGTTTTCATTAGTGGAATTGCCCTGGAAGGTTGCAGAACACTGGGGGACTGTAGGAAGGGAAATTGAAGAAAACAGTCTATCTTTGTGGTAATAATAATAATAAAAATAAATTTTATTTATACCCCGCCCTCCCCAGCCAAGGCCGGGCTCAGGGCAGCTAACAAGCAATAATAAAAAGAAGTTGAATGAATACAGCTTAAAAACAAGATTAAAATACAACATTAAAACATTGAAACATTAAAACATTAATTATTAGCTTCTACTAGAACTCAAGGCCTTCTACAGAAAGAAAGTGCATTTCTGTTTTGGGGCATTCTGGATCCAGCATCGAAAAGTGTCAATGGGAAAACTAGAGCTAATTTTTTTAAATGTTGTATATAATATACAGTGTATACATATGTATACCCAGGGAGAGAGAGAGAGATACTTTGGCTTGAAACCATTTTTTTGCTTTCCCATAATTTGAAAACAAGTTTAATTTATGGCATGAAATTATAAAGGCCATTAGTGTCTTTGCATAGTTCAAAAAATTAAAGCAGCTGAGATATGGAGGTTTAAAATGTAGCTACTCTGCATGCACATTAACAACTTTTCTTTAAGGATTTATATCGCCATCGGTTCTGTTTCATGCATAGTGTAATACACAGATTTTATAGCATGTTACTTTTAAAATATGTAAAACTCCAGTAGGAGTCATTATGCCTTGTACTATAAGGTGTCTGTAGATTAATGGTCACTGGGACATTTTTATATTACAACTTTCAATTTCCTGATGTTGCAGTTCAAGTGTGGAGTATACACGTGTGTGTGTGTGTGTGTGTGTGTGTGTGTGTGTGTTCAGATAGAAATGGTTCCTTTATACCATGGGTAGGCAAACTAAGGTTCGGGGGCCGGATCTGGCCCATTTGCCTTCTAAATCTGGCCAGTGGATGGTCTGGGAATCAGTGTGTTTTTACATGAGTAGAATGTGTCCTTTTATTTAAAACACATCTCTGGGTTATTTGTGGGGCCTGCCTGGTGTTTTTACATGAGTAGAATGTGTGCTTTTATTTAAAATGCATCTCTGGGTTATTTGTGGGGCACAGGAATTTGTTCATTTTTACCCCCAAAATATAGTCTGGCCCCCCACAAGGTCTGAGGGACAGTGGACCGGCCCCCTGCTGAAAAAGTTTGCTGACCCCTGCATACAGTATGTTCATGCGAACCATTTTAATTTGGCTTCATTGTGTGCTTTCCATAGTACTGTGAATACATTATGAAGCTCTACAGGAGTGAGACTGTGGCCCTGTGGCTGGCACAAGGCAAAACTTGCTGCCAATCCACTGGTTCCACTCAAAGAGCTGCCCCTGCTGCCAGCTCATCCCAGCCCTGTGTAGGAAAGCAGCAGCAACTCTGGCATTGGGATGGGAGCTATGTGGCTCCACCCCACCCCACATTCTGCTACTGGAGAAACTGTGTCTGTCAAATACCTTCCTATGAAAAATGGGGTGAAATCTACCCTGAGCGTGCTTTTCATTGCAGAAACAATACAAAAGCAAACAAACAATTCAATCCTCCTAATTGATTGTGAGCTGCACAGTAGTATACAGTGTCCCCAAATTTCAGCCACTTACCCATTTACAGTTTTCTTTCTTTTTTGGGGGGGGGGAGTGCCAGGGGCAAAAAACAATAATAATCACCCAATATATCTTGATTTTTGCCACTTGGGTACATTTCCTCCAGTTAATGTGTTAACTAAATGAGGGGGAAATGCCCCATGCAGCAAGCACTTTTTTAAAAATAAAAATTTTCAAGCAAAAACTGACCCAGAGAAGCAGACAAGTGCACTTGTTTTGGCACATCACATGTTTCTTTATTCTACTATGCTAAGACACATTGTAAGTCACCTTGGTGTAGAAAACTACTTCAGAAATATGTATCTTGTTAGGTTTTGTTTTTGCTTTTTGCTTTTCCTGGTAGATTTGGTGTGCGCATAATGCTTATGCATGGTTTAGCAGTCTGTACACAAGCAAGAAAGAGCCCAAATGAAGTGTTGGGTTTCAGTATCCCCCCAATTCCTGCTGAGTTGTTTCACTTTCAAACAAGTTATGGCTACTGACCCATCTGAAGACCACTTGTATACTCTAATGATGATGGAGCCTGTGGCCTGTGCAATGCTGCTGCATTAAAGGAGTTGTCGTCCAATAACATCTGGAGGACCACGGTCCCCTTGTTGTTTGTCTGCCCTGGCAGGCAGTGGCTTTTCGATGGGTTCAAACGGTGCTTTTGTCAGTTCTACCTGGAGGTGTCAGGAAGCAAATCTGGGCTGGTTTGCATGTAAAACATATACCACTGAGCATTGGCTCTCCCCCAGTTCTTCTTCAGTCCCTCACAGAAGAACATGATGGTCACTCCAGATAATTTCCTCAAATTGTAAAGCCTAAGGTAATGAACTCAAACAGTTATCTGTCATGTAAGCTGAATTGCTTTTTAAACTGAATTGCAGCTTAAATGTTACTTATATTGTGTCAATGCGTGGGAAAATATATATAATAACTGGAACTTGTTTAGAAAGACTGGGAAAAGTTGGTTGTTGGCTGTAATTTGTACATAACTTGCCCAGAAAGAAACTTTATCATTTTGTCAAAACAGTGTGATCTCCCCCACCCCCAATTTACTGTACCTACGCTACTATAGTCTCCTTTGAACATGTATATAGCTGTTCAAAATATATGCTCATTATACTTTTATTAGTCATATTTTACCACATTTGTTAAAATGCAGTTGCAGCGTTTATTAGCTGGGGTTTCCATGAGAAATGACAAGCATGGTTGGTAACTGAAATTATTTTAGTAAACATTTTGGTGGGGTTTTCTTCCCCATGGTTCTGTATTTAAAACTGGGTGAAGAGAGGAGGTGGCATAAAAGCAAGCAAATATCATGGTAATACCTATTTAATTTTGAGTTGGCTGTATGTACACATACACTTTTTGTTTGTTTGTATTTAGATATGTTTGTTCTTCTAAGTAGTGCAATGTGTATGTCAGATCAATGAAAGGTTTGTGGCAGAGAGAGATGTTATGTTTTGTACCTTTGGTTGAGCAAATTTCCCTTGTGTGGGCCTTTAACCATCACTAGAACCATTCCTGAAACTCAATACTTTTGTTTCCTATAACCAAAGAAATTATCTACCTATGGAATATATTAACTGTTGCACCCTGTATTTTTCATGATTGCTAAAATGTTTTGTTGGAAGGACTTCTAAATACAATATGTAACTTACACTGCCCATTAGGTCACCGTAGGGGGGCTAACTATGGCTCTGTGATTTGAGCTAGGTTGACATCTGTGAAACCACATTTATTAATGTACATATGAAAGAGTAAGTGCATTTTCTTTAATAAACCCTCAGCAAATTGAATGAGATTTTTTGATTTTGTATGTATGCTTTTTAAAAAAGACAAACCAACCAACAACTGCAATTTATTATTACTTGCATAGCTTATGTGATCTGTGAAAGATGAAAACTCTTGCTATTTAATATTTTTTGTAAGTTTCAGAGAAGAGTAGAAATTTAGAGTGATATGTATGAATGCATGGATTTGGACAAGATAAAGATGGAATACTAAAATAGAGCTTAGCATTAGGTGCCTGAGCCAGCACAAGTCTCGGGCTCATGTTGTCTCCCATCCCAGAATTCTGAATCTGTAAGTGAAAATGCCTCTTGAACCCAAGCTCTAGTTTGAAAATACTGGGACTGTCACAGTTGTAGCCTTTATCTTAGGAGTCAAATCCATATTTTTTACTATGGCAGTGTTAACTATACTTGCTGCCTCGGTTACATTTTAGAAACATACTTCAGAAATTCTAAAAATGAACAAGTAATTCTAAAAATGAGCAAGTATTTCTGACACATTTGCTTTAGGACAGTCTCTTTAAAGCAGGGGTCAGGAACCTCAGGCCTATGGGCCAAATGCACCCCCTGGTCTCTTTGTACAGTCCTCTAAACTCTTCTTAGTCCAGTCCCACATTTTACCGGTTTTTCTGCAAGAATATCATGGGGAACTTTGTCCAAAACCTTACTGAAATCAAGATAGACTATGTCCACAGCATACCCCTGATCCACCAATCTTGTAACTCTATCCAAAAAAGGAAAAGGAAAAGGAAAAAAATGAGCTTCATCTGGCATGACATGTTTTTGAGAAACCCATGCTGGGTATTAATAATTATAGTATCCATTTCTAAGTGCTCACAGACCAACCATGTAATTATCTGTTCTAGGACCTTTCTTTGTATTGACCTCAAACTGATCGGTCTGTAGTTACCTGGGTCTTCATCCCCCCACCTTTGAAGATTTGGACAGCGTTTGCCTGCCTCCAGTCTGCAGGGTCACGTGTTCTCCAAGAATTCCCAGAGATTATAGACAGAGACTGAGATTATATCCGCAAGCTCCTTTTGTACCCTTGGCTGCAGCTCATCAGGCCCTGGAGATCTGAATTCATGTAAAGTAGCTAGGTGTCCCCTTATCCTCTTACTCCACATCGCTGTTCCAGGGCAGAGAAATTCTAGAAATTTCTCATATTGTCTGATAGGTCAAAGTGTGGACAGGTGAGGCTCAAGTTGCTGTGCCTTCTCTTCCATAAAGGCAACCAGCTTGAACTTGCTGCAAGTGTAGTTTTGCACATTCTCAGGGAGGAAGACAAACATGGCACAGGTGTTGCAAGTCACTGCAGCATCTGCCTCGCTGTTCATGTCACATCTGTGGCTCTGTCCCATTACGCCTCTGGCCTCAGTGTGTGATGTGGCACCTGGAAGGTTTGTTCATGAGGAAACATGGCCTCTGGCTGAGAAAGGGTTCCCCCTCTCTGTTCTAAAGGAAGGACCTTGTACAACAGTCACTGGAAGATGGTAATGATGATTTGTTTTAAGATGTCAAATTTAATATACAACCCTGCATAAGTTTATTCTCAGACATACTTGCTTACAGTAGCTTCAACGCTGGTAGCAGTATAACTGCTGTAAATTTTCTTTAGTTGAATGAAGAATTTTCTGACATGTCGTGCTGTCAGTATAGTTTGTGATAGTTCTGATGTTATCAGTAGCAGAACATTCTGGAGGTCCATCATAAAATACAAATTTTATGGAGACCCAGGCAGATGGGTGGGGTATAAATAACAAAATTATTAGTATTAGTAGTATTATTACCTGCTTATTTACACAATTATCACAGGCAGAAATGAACACCATGTGCATTCTAGACATCTGTGAAGTTGCCAGTTGTATTTGACATGTGAAAATCTTTGGTTCCTCAAAAGAGAAACCAGTCAAGGACACCTGGTGGCTCAAAAAATGAGCCATTAGTGACCTATGAAATGTCCTTTATGTACTGTTTCCTGGTCCCTCCCTCCACATAGCTCATCTATACCTAATATTTGTATTTTGTCATTTTCTTTTTACTACCTCTACCCCAGTGCTAGCAAAAACTGTTTCCAAGTTTACTGAAAATCTGCATGTTCAAAGCAGTATAAGGCAGGCATTGTGTTGATTTTATCAGGAGACTTTTATGTGCAGAGTTTATGATTTATTTTTATTTATTCCATTTCTGAGTTGCATTTCCCACTTACCAGGAGTGCCCATACATAATATATAATTGTTCTGGTATAGAACCTAGCTTGCTTTTATTTGGTTCTGTCTCAAAAGTGTTGTGTATTTTGACTTTAGCTTAAAAATATATACTGGTCTGGAATAAGCCTTCGCCAACATTTTTTGTCCTGTGCCTATTTAATTTTTTTTTTTTTATGTTGGAAATAGTGTTCATGATCAGAAGCAGATACACTGTTTAAGTATTGGAACAAAAGGTGGAAGTTTTCAAAGAACAGAATGCTGCTGCCTGTATCCTGTTCACGGAGGAGCTGACCTGTATTTGAATATCAAGGTTCTTAGCAATGTACCTTCTTGGGGGCTGGGGTGTGTGTGACTATGATGTAATGCAGAACAGTGAATTTTTCAAGCCGCACAGTGATGCACTCCTGAGAATGGAACCAAGCCATTAGTACATCACGGAGAATTGCTGATTCCAAAGAGACACCCTTGAGAGAGGAAGTACTGTAATGAGAAAGCAGCAATGTTGTTCTAATATTTGTTGTTTCCTTTGAAATGGCTAAAATACCTGAAATGATTTATACCTAATTGAGCTTTGCATTCCATCTGATAGGGTAAATGTTCTCAGGCCATTTATCATCGGTGGCTTTTCAAGATCTCCTAGGAGTACATGGTGTATATTTACCTTAACTTGGCTAGGTCAAGGGAAATAGCTTTTTTTAAAACAAAACAAAACAAAACAAAACACCAAAGCAAAACAAGAATAATACATGATACCGTATGAGATTGCAGGAAAACTAGAAACACAGTGCTGGCATAATTTACATACTTTTATCCTGCCACCCTTGTTGCTAATACAAATATGTCACATAACTAGTTAAAATGTGTGGATTAATACTACTGCTACAACTAATAATAATAATAATAATAATATAATACAATATTAATTTGTACAGGTTTTAATTGCTCCTGAGAATGTGTGTGGCTTGGTGGTGGGGTGAGAACATGTATTTCGATCCAGTTCTGCTGTTAGTTGTGTCTGGGATTGAAAGAAATGTGGATCTCATCCTTAATGCCCATGGGGAACTTGCACTTACGTTCTCAAACGACAAGCCTATGCTGCATCTAAGAACTGAAACCGAGGAAACTTTCTAAATCAGTTTCTGATGTGGCATGGTACAGTGTGGTGGTCTGCTGTTCAAAAAGCATGTATCGGGGTCAAGGCTAGCCTAGGACATTTTGTCACTTGTCCTGTACCCTGCTATATTTATATCCTGCCTTTCCTCCAGGGAGATCAAGGTGGCACACATCATTCTTTCCCTGCTATGTCTTATCCTCACAACAACTCTTTGAGAAAGATTAGGTGGAGAGTGAGTGGCCCAAAACTACCTAGCAGGCTTCATGGCACAATTGGGATCTGAATCTAGGTCTCTCCAGACCTAATTCAACATCATCATTGGCATCATCATTTTCTTTAGTGTTTGGAGCACAGGTAGGGAACCTTTTCCCCTCTAGATGTTTTTGAACTGCAACTCACATGATCCTTGACCACTGGTTATGCTGGCTGGGGCTGATGGGAGTTGGCTCTTTTAGCTTCTTGTCAATCAGATTAAGGTATGATCTGCTGCCTGAAAAGAGTCAATGATGCGTCATATACCCATTCTGCACAGGGCAGCATGTCCTCCTCTTTGGAAAGAGGAGAGAATAATTCTTAATTAAAACAGCAAGGGTAAGTGCACGGACTACATGAGAATCATAATCAAAATACACACACTATCATTTTTGCCACTTAGCAGCATCCAAACATTGTCTTTAGCTTTTGAGCCTTTTTAGCACTTGTCACAGACTATTCTGCTTTCTCTTTTTTAGAGGGGGATGTTGTGTTGTGTTTGTTTGTTTGTTTGTTTGTTTGTTTCTGCCTTGGTTTTGTATGTCAGCTGCCCTGTGGCTGAGAGTGTGAACAACCTTCTTAAAGTGTACAATATTGTTCTGTTCCAGCTAGTTTGATGTAATAATGTATTTTGCATCTCCTCTAGGGGCTGAAAATGTCACTTAGTTCTGCTCCCAGCCTTCTGTAGCTTTAAGTGTAGATGTCCTTGGGGTTGAAGACTCAGCCTGGGTTTCCTTGGGCTGCCCCTAGTCAGATTTCTTTTAGTCATCTTTCCATATTGCCTTTAGTATGAAAGATTATTTTGGTTGAACTGTGCTTGAAATGTCTTCCAGTTTTTACGTACCATCAGTCACAGGGCAATCTGTATTAGAAAACAAATGTGCGATATTTTGAAGAAACAGCAAGCACCAACTTAAAAATAAATGTATATTTTAAAGTAATCTGCTAAGTTAAAAGCCTAAACATTTTCAAGCACATGCATGTATGACTGAACTGTTAATTGTAACCTAAATTTTAATGGAATGTGACTTTGATTAATAGATACTCTCCTTTTTCCATGCTTGCAATTTTAATTAGTCTTTTTTAAGTTAAACTTATTAATGAAACAAAAAGATTGAATCCCTTTAAAATTGAGCTCACTGGCTGAGCTCTTGTAATGTGGTTCCGCTTTTATCATGATCCTATATGACACATTTTTAAATGAAATAATTATAATGTAGGCTTTATTAATATGGCTTTTTTTTTTTTTTTGGTAGAATCCTGGGCAACTTTGGAAATGTATAGGAGAATGAGCGTTTTGCTGATTGAAGCTTTTTATGGAGGTTCACACAGGCAGCTAGTAGATCTCCTAAAAGAAGAAATAGAAGACTGTGTCCTATTTACTCTCCCTGCAAAGAAATGGCATTGGAGAGCAAGGACTGCAGCACTCTACTTCATGCACGCTGTCCCAGCCAGCATGGACTACAGGTAAGGCGAGCTATGGATACCTTCATAACTCCAGATCTTGAATTTCCGTATTTACTCATATACAGTTCAGCAACCTTTCTGTGGAACTGAGATCACGTAAGGTAGGTGCCTTAGATACATGAGAACGTTTCCACTTTAAATCCCAGGCATTTCCAGTTGCTCAGAGCCAACTGTGTTCTACAGACGGTGATGTGAGAGAACAGATGCCCTTGTGAGTGGTCATGCACCATGATAAAACCAGTGCCACCATGCCGTAAAGACATAGCTCTGCATATAATTATGTACACATGGGGTGAGATCCAAAAAGCTACTTTTAAGGATGCCCGGTGGTGTGGGATTTAAAAGCAAAACAAAACTCTGCGCAGTCAAGTCTCATGCTCGTATCACAGTGTACTCTTGAAAAGGTAGGTGAGTTGCTTTCCAGAAACACACACCAAAAATTCTGCATGTCCAAGGCAGCTAACTGCTTGGTTCTTTGGTCACTGGCTGTACGTGTATTCTGCCTAGCGACAGACACGGATCAAAGAGCAGCCCGGGACTGCGTAACTGCTTGTCCAGAGAAAGTGCAACCCTGTCCAGATTAGGCAATGGACTTGTCTCCTGGGCATAGGGACCACTCGCTTATCCCTCTTCCAATAAGAAGCTTTATTCTGACAGAATGCTGTGAGGTGGGCTAGGTTTCGAATGAATGACTTCCATAAAGTCCAACAATTAGTGAGGTCTTCTCGGTTCAAAACTAGCATTCTCTCTGCAACACAACGCTGGCTTTGGGCAGTCTTGTAGGTAGCACAGGAAGCCTTTTAGCAAACTGGAAAATTGTTTCATGTTCATTGGGAACACACTCACCGAGCAAGCTAATAAATAATCACGGTTTTCAATCCTAAATTTATTTGGCTTTTCTAAGCCCCTAATAAGGGGCAAATAAATTAAATATGTAAGGACGGACTCTTTCTCAATTGTCTTTCCTCACACTTGGATTTGTTTATTCTCCAGATAATTCCCACAACTAAGGGATAAGAACAGTTTCAATAGATTGACAGCATTTGGTGGGATTGGTTTTTTCAAACCCAAACTTCCCCAGTGGACTTAAGCAACCAGCTCCATGAGCTGCGTCGTGTGAATCTAAGTTTAATTTTATGCCACGTTGAAGTATTTGCTGTGCATTTTGACTATGTGGAGTAAGTCCATTTTTTAGCATTTAAAATAAAGCCCTTTAAATATATTTTATTTTCTCTCTGGCTTTTCCTTGGCTGTTCTCTGCTTCTTCTTATTGCATCTAAGCTGCCAGTCTGGAACAACTTTTCAGAGGGGGGAAAAATTGTTCTGCCTGAGGTGGTTGAATGTGGGTTTTGCTTTGCTCGACTTCGAAACAATCCTATTTTGTAGGAGTATGTATGACAAACTATTATGTAAATTTTTTTCTACATCACAACCACATCCTCCAACGCATTGCAATGTTATCTCAGCTCCTTCAAGGTCAGCAGCCCAAGCTGTCCAGCGCTCGCTGTATTAAGCTAATCAGACATAACTCATAGCCATACACTTCATTAGTTTAACGTACAGTTACATTGACCTGAGATAACTGAATTCCAATTTGTCAAATAACCTACATTTTAACAGAAAGTACTAGAAGCTTAAAAACTGATTCAAAGTTAGCAAATCTGTCATGTACTTATGTGCAATGTAACCTTCATAAACACCAACTAAATCTACGCTTAACCAATACAGCATAATGAGGAGGTGATGGCCCTGCTGTTGCTATTGGTATCTGATCACAGAGAAAATAATTCAGAGAGTTTTATATAGGTGCAGGTTCAATAGGAATGTACGGCGCTGGTAATCCAGCCAAAATTAAGCAGTTGAAAGTCCCATTGATTTCAGTGGGAGAATTAAGCATATGCTGTTAATATTAATATTCTAGCGCTACTACTAATGTCGAGGGTGTCAAGGAGGGCGTTGGTAGCAATTGATTAAAAACTAAATTGCACTCTGCACTCAGTTTTGGGGCAGCTTCTGACAGCAGCCTTACTCATGTCATAATACCATGTGTTTTTCTCTGCTGCTACCAATGGCAGATTTCCCTTCTCTCACGCCTATGCTATGTGCATGGGGTGGTGCCAGGGATGGTTGTGACATTGGGGCAGGGCCAGCAGCACAGTTCCACATCCCTTTCTATGCATGGAGTTCTGTTCATGCATATGACACATGCATTGGACACCTCTATGTTTCTGCTGTACTCTTCCATGCATTAAAAAGTCAATGTAAGTTGTTCCCATCTATTGCAAGAGCTTTTTATCCTTGCAGAGTCCAAAGAGTTCCACTATGGAGTCTTCCTGATTTTTCCTTCCATGCAATAGAAATGAAGCAGTCAGAAAAGTAATTTTACCAGTCTTTCCCCGCTCCTGCTTCATCATGGCACCTGTCTGTAGACAAAGGACATAAGAGGAGGAAGGAAGCAATGAAAGTAGGAGCTGGGGTTTTTTGCCATTAGTGACACTGGGCAATTAAGACTAGCTGAAATTAATTGGTTAATAATTTGTCAGCGGAAGAATGGGGGATTTTCAGATGTTGGTAGAGAAATTGCGGTGTACAAAGTCCTTATTCCAAAGGGAACTCCTACATTTTAGTTGGGTCTCATGAATGAGCTAGAATGGATTATGAACATCCATAGCTAATGCCAAGGCTTTTTGCAAACACAAGGAGTGTTATGGGTTAGGGTAATGATGAAAAATAGATGCTGCAGTTTCTTTTAATATACAGCCATGTGTCCTGATTATCTGAAAATAAGCTGAACCTATGAATAATATAGAAATAAAATAAATACAAGACACTTTTAAGAGGATAAACTATACTAATTAAAAATCATAAATGTAGAAATACTGAATCATAACGCGCAATTTCATTATACTATAGTGCTAGCAATGTAAATACCAGTATATATAAAACAAGGCACACATAATGTATTTGAATAAAACAAAACAATTCTTCAGATTCTCTAAAAACCTAAAATGGAGGAAGCAAATATGCTGGAAAAGAAAACCACAAAGCTTTTATTTTCTTATTAGGGCAGGTTTTTGAAAAATCAGCAAAACCTTTATGCATTAGTGATGACTATAAATCTACAAGTGCTCTGAGTAGCATGACCAGAATACTATTACTGCTTTTGTTAATCAGCAAGTGATATATACATTTTTCACATGGTTGTTGGTGTCATTATGTTCAGAGTCCTGCTCTGCCATGTAACAGAAGGATCTCATCAGTTTGCAGTCGTCTCCGTGTGTTTATATAATTTGATGCTAATATGAATCAGTGGGCACTGGCTCTAGAACGTAATAAGGCAATATTATTAACTAATATTTCTCCATCCAGAATGAATTGTGCTGAGAAAGGAAACCTGGAGAAGTTACCCTTGGCTGTTATGACAAAACTTAAAAGATAGGCCGAGCATTTTGAGTGAATACAGAAAACCATTTACCAAGTGGTAATTTATTGTGATCTACATGTAACCTAGCTGTGCAGCCCTCGCTCCACTTAAAGCCTTCCCATGTCAAGTGAGATTGTCCATGTCTAAAATATTAGGAAGTAGAGGGACCCATGGGCAGACTGTTTACATTGACAGTCCCATTTTGATCAGTCTCTTCATCTGTTTGGCTTCCTTCAATTGATTTACACTGAATGCCAGTCAGGGCTGGTCCTCTGTCCCCACTTAATTTTGAGTAATTGTGACATGCTTAATTGTGAAATGTTTAAAGTTGTGCCATATATATATATATATATATATATATATATATATATATATATCTCTATATATATATATATATCACATACATACAAAACAAGCAGAATAACAAAACTTTTCAAGGGAAATGTGTAGGGGGTTACATGGATATTTTTTTTAAAACAACTTGTCACTTTTTAACTGAAAAGCTACCATCTGCCAACATTTTAATCACAAGCAAAGCTTATTAATGCAAAGTGAATGTTTATGATCATATTGATGTCTTCCTGAATAATTTTCAGGTAGGCTCTTTGGTTATATTATTAATTGTTTTACTTTTTTTTCTGTCAAGTTTCTTCCTTTCTCGTTATCTGAGAACTGCTTTGAATTATTGAACCTGCTTCTTGAACCTATAGCCGTGACACCTGGAGAGTGGCTTCTGCTGCAGCCTGATTGTAGTTCTGGAATCATTCATTTTTTCCTCCCATTTAATTATCATGCAAGAGGGAGAGTTTGGGAAAAGCCCAGTAGGTCCTCAGGGTATTGCTGACTGAAGGCCTTTCTCCATCAAAGAGCCAAGCACATGGGCTGCAGGGGCAGATACCTGCAGAAGGAGGCAACTAGTGAATAGGGCCTGTGTGTGAGGCAAATGAGCCAAGTTTAACCCCAATACATTGCCCATCTCATGAAATAAAATTGGTGCTGGGTTTTCAAGAGATGATAGGGCATCTGTTGGTATCCCCACTCTCTTACTTCCAAACAGTGCCCCTGTCTAAGTTAGTGGAGATTATATTGGTATGGTAGGCCTCCATAGTACATGTGGACATCTATGCTGAGTCCCTTGGATTTGTGTTGCTTAGGAATATGTGAACTGCCACTCAGGGAACACTGGGTTGTATCCAGCTATATCATACTCGACCCATCCTCATTTAAATCAACTTATTTCAGTGTGTCTACACACTGTATGACTTGGTTAGATATAATCCTTTATAGGTAAATCTAATACATGTATACTAAGAGGTAAGCTCCATTGAATTCAGTGAAATTTACTCCCAGCGAAGTGGGAATAGGATTGCAACCTTAGTGTAGTTTTTGTCAT